TTAATAAAGCTTTAGCTCATGTCCTCATTTCTTTATCAACTGCAGTTGCTGAGTGCACACTATTTGCCTTTTAGTAAATCAACTCTGTTTTGTGAAAAATCTCAGCAATGGTAGCTTTTGTATACCTCTCTGTAGAGGTTTCCTTTATGGGCTGTGATTGAGTGGGGGATGTGGCAACTAGTTTTCATCATAGGCTGGATGGCTGGATCCACATTTTGCGTTGCACATGTTGTGTTAGATGTTGATGTGCAGTACTTTTAAGATCACTCCATTCATTCTGAATGAGCTGTCAGCATACTGTGACGTAGGCAAAAATGTACATAACCCATTTTACAGGGCATGTGCGTTTTATAAACTAATTGTTTTATAGGTTTTAGATGCAGAGTAAACCAACCTGAAATTGTCCTGTAAAACAGAAATGTTAAGATCTGCTTTAGGCTAGACATTCATGACTCAGATTATTTATTTTTTACAGGTATTTAAATATATCACCGACAATTCACACAGTGCTTTACATACTGTACATTCACATCAATCCCATGCTTTGCAAAAAATAATAATTGCACATATATTTTCAAAAAAAATGTGCATTTATCAATTTTTTTGTAAATTTGCCTGCAAGGCATTGGAACCATGGTCATGGATCACGGGTACAATGTCAAGTTCCTTCAGTGCAGACTCTTCGTTCAGCTCTGAAGTCTTGTGTTCCATTGAGAACTACAGGTGCATCTGTCAGGGTGGCAGATGGGACTTGCAGTGTATTATTCATTTACAGATCTCTATGGAGCCATGCACAGCTGCACTAATTTCAAATCTTGACAGCTGCCCCGAGGGAGAAGAATCCCTGCATGCTGTTTTGTGGGTGGCACCATGTTACACTCTAAATATTATTATTATTATAATACAGGATTTATATAGCACCAACAGTTTGTGCAGAGCTTTAAAATTTAAAGTCACCTCAATGCTGGCCTCAATGCACTGTTTAATTTGGGCAACTATGTGGCAAATGAGATTTAATGTTGATAAATGTAAGGTTATGCACTTGGAGGCTAAGAATATGCATGCATCATACATACTAGGGGGGGTACAACTGGGGGAATCAATGGTGGAGAAGGATCTGGGAGTTCTGGTAGATCACAAGCTTAATAATGGCATGGAATGCCAAGCTGCGGTTTCTAAAGCGAGCAAAATCCTCTCTTGTATTAAAAGAGGTATAGACTCCAGAGAGAGAGATATCATTATTACCCCGGTACAAATCATTAGTAAGACCTCATCTGGAATATGCAGTTCAGTTTTGGGCACCAATTCACAAAAAGAACATTGGGGAACTGGAGAAAGTGCAGAGAAGGGCAACCAAACTGATAAGAGGCATGGAGGAGCTCAGGTATGAGGAAAGATTACAGGAACTGAATTTATTCTCTCTTGAGAAGAGGAGATTAAGGGGGGATATGATCAACATGTATAATACATAAGGGGGGATACGATCTCCATGTATAATACATAAGGGGGGATATGATCTACATGTATAATACATAAGGGGGGATATGATCACCATGTATAATACATAAGGGGGGATATGATCTCCATGTATAATACATAAGGGGGATATGATCTCCATGTATAATACATAAGGGGGGATATGATCTCCATGTATAATACATAATAAGGGGGGATATGATCTCCATGTATAATACATAAGGGGGGATATGATCAACATGTATAATACATAAGGGGGGGGATACGATCTCCATGTATAATACATAAGGGGGGATACGATCTCCATGTATAATACATAAGGGGGGATATGATCTCCATGTATAATACATAAGGGGGGATATGATCTCCATGTATAAATACATCAGTGGTTCATATAGTGAACTTGGTGTAGAGTTATTCACCCTGAGGTCATCACAGAGGACAAGGGAGCACTCTTTACATCTGGAGGAAAAGAGATTTAATCTCCAAACACGAAAAGGTTTCTTCACAGTGAGAGCTGTGAAAATGTGGAATAGACTCCCTCAAGAGTTGGTTCTGGCCAGTCAGTGGATTGCTTTAAAAAAAGCCTGGATTCTTTCCTAGATACAGAGAATATAACTGGATACTAACTTTTATAGGTAAAGTTGATCCAGGGAATATCCGATTGCCTCTCTGGGGATCAGGAAGGAATTGTTTTCCCTGGAGGAGCAAATTGGATCATGCTTTGCTGGGTTATTTGCCTTCCTCTGGATCAACTATGAGTATAGGATTATAACTTTTTTAATTTTTTTTTTTAATGGTTGAACTGGATGAACTAACTATGTAACTATCTACACGTGTATGGCTAGCCTTAAGGGGCTCTAATATAGCTCTCATCTATACTGGATTGTAAAGAATGTGTTGTGATGGTATTGTGTGCTCAGTGAAATGGATTTTCTTTTGGAGGATGCCATTGTGTCATGCTAATGGGCTGAATCCTCTTCTACTTGAACAGCTATAGAAGGACGTAAGAGCTTTTATAACAAAAGCTAAATGTCCTTGCATGGAATATTTTCAGAAGACTATTAATGCTAAACCTTAACTTACCTGTGTACAAACGTCTGTGTTTTCTGTCTCTTTGATCATATTTTGAAGAAAACTCCAGTCCAAATTGAATGAACCTTAAAACGTACAGAGAATATGGCCTATGTGCCTACTGTTTCTGTTTTTCATCAGGCTGTCCCACATCTTATTGCATTCTTGCCACCAAGCTGATGTTCTGGGAGCACCTTAAGTTGGCAGGTTTAAAATTCAGTGAATTTTCGTGATCCTGACTCCAGCAGTGTTATCTCTTCTAGGTCTGAGAATGCTTTGCCATGCTGATGGTGTCCTCTGCTGGCACCCTTGGAGCTGCTATCATGATTGCTTTTCAGGGCTCTAACCCAACTTTGCTCTCTTTTTGATACCCCAACATTCTTAAAACTTCACCTTCACAGAAGCCTGGGACTCACCTGCTACTTCTAACTGGCAGCTCAGATTTGGGTGTCCATTTATGACACAGAGAATAGCTGAGATTCAGAGGATCGCAGCTATTCTCTGGTCATTCACAGTTTATGACACTGAGGAGATCAGCTGAGAACATGTTCAGCCCTTCACTGGAGATCTGTGAACTCCCTCCAGATTCTCCAGCCCAGAGCTGGAGAATCGGTGGGACCGCAAACTAAGCAGCGATAATTTACCTCTGTTTAGTAAACTGATCTTTTACTGTAATCTCGTGAGATTATAGTAAAATCAGCCATTTTCCAGCGTTTGTAGACTGTTCTCCAGCGTTTGGAGACCGTTCTCCCTTCGTTCGGAGAACTGCTTCATAAAAGGCATTCACAGGAGAACTGTGTTCTCCGAGAATGCCGGAGAACTGAGCAGCGATCTATTACCGCTGGTTCATAAACGGACACCTTGGACATGGGGGGAAGTTGCATTAACTATTCCTAGTTGGTAAAAGCAAAGTCACCAATGGAGTCCATCATGTTTCTCTTACAAAAGTTTTCCTTTACTTTCTGCTTACAATTGTAGTGGGACTTTATTCATCTATGCAGTGAGTAATAACCAGAGAAAAAAAAAATGATGCCCCTTAGCAGTCAGTAAAATTTTATATTTCATTCATTTGGAATGTTCAAAAAATTTATTGGTTCCTCTGAGGAAATGACACATGTTCCTCCAGTTATCCTACACCACCCCACAGATAAAGCAATACTGTGACTTATAAAAACTGGAATTTGGTGTGATTAAACATAAGAACAAAACTGAAAGGCTGAAACAGTTGAAGAGGTTATAGCACACTATGTCCTAACGTTTGTGAACAGCTGACCATTAACACCCACCATATGGCCAAATGAATGTGATTAACTGTGCATTACTGACCTTGTGGTAACAGTGTGAGGAAAGTCCTTTTCTGTTCCAGTATGACTGTGCCCCTGTGTACAAAGGAAGCTCCAAAATACATGGTTTGATAGGTTTGGTGTGAAGGAACTGGAGTGTCCTGTACAGAGCCCTGACCTCAGCCCTCTTGAACCTTGTTGGAATGAATTTGAATGCTGATTGCAAACCAGGTCTTCTCCTCCAACATCAGTGACTGACCTCAAAAATGTACTTGACTGAATGGGCACTAATTCCCACAGGCACACTTCAAAAAAGTTGAGGGTGTTATAGCTGCAAAGGGAATATGAAAGGTGGAGGGGGGTGCCCATGGATTTGGAATGGGATGTCCAACAAGCTCATATGTGTTGGCCATATACGCTTCATTCCAAATGAAACCTGTTAGGAGAGAGATCTGCCAATACTGACTTGTTTTGGAAGGTCTAAGCTCCTGTCCTGACCCTACTTCTTGAGTAAATGACCCAGAACAAACCGGAGTATATCAAGTGTTGCATTGGGGTACACATGTTCTTGGTCAGACACAGTCCATATCTAACACTGCTAATATCAGGATGACCATGTTGGAGCCTGCACCTTCAAAGGCCAGTCACATATTTCTGTCCTGACATGTTCTCATTATCTAAAGATGGTGCCTTACATTGTATGTATTTGCTAGAAAAGGTTGCCTTGCCAGTGTAAATGAGACTACCTCTTCCTGTAATCTCAGCCAGCCCCACACACACTATTAAATAGCCCCCCACCCCACCCCCAGCACGTACAGCCAGCCTCCCCTTTAAATTATCACCCAACACTGCACACACTCAGCTTGCCTGCCTTCTCACTTCTACCGCTCTGCCTCCCCCCCACCTCTTCACCATAATGCCTATACCACCCTTCTCCCCCAGCCTGTGCACCCTCATTCCCACACCCTCACAATGAAAGATGCCTTATTTCCAACCACCCTCCCCATTCCTGACACCCCATCCTCTCTTTTACAATAGAGATAACTTTTGTCTTTATCTTATACTAGTAATATTTGTGCCTGTTTCTAATGTTTTCTTTTTATTTAATGTTTTACAGATAAACATTGATTATCTGGTGTTGAGCATATCTTGAGCTTACCCGTCAGGATGCAGCCAGCTCAGGTCTCTGCCTTGGCTGTACCCTTTGTCCTGTTCATTGTATTCAGTATAACTCCTCTGAATGGTAAGCCATGTCATGCTTTTTTTTTAATGTAAGATATTTTAATGTGTAAATGAATGCTGTTTTCACACTGATTATTAACAAGCTTTCAGTGACTATGTGTTTTCTTTGGCAGTTTTAACCTGGCCATATACTGGTAGATTTTCATACAAACATTCGCACATTCAATAAATTAACAGAGGTCATTCGAAAATTAAATATGCTTGTAAATTTCGACTTTGGACTTTTCACCAAGGAAAGCCACATTCATTGTTTGGAAATGCAGTTTGGGAAAACATTTCTATCCTGCTTCTTTAAATACATTTTTTGTTGTTGTTGCTGTGGTGAAACATGAACGTCAGTTTGACTCCACCAAAAATTATAAAATTGAACAAATGTTCTTAAAATGAAAAATGTCAAACATTCTACTAGTTTATGGCCAGCTTTAGACTAAATTGGACAGGGGCAAAATGATTGCATAGCTTGTAATACCTACATTTATTTTAGAACAGTGTGACAGTATGTGTACAGTGGGGATCGAAAGTTTGGGCACCCCAGCTAAACATTTGTATTAATGTGCATAAAGAAGCCAAGAAAAGATGGAAAAATCTCCAAAAGGCATCAAATTACAGATTAGACATTCTTATAATATGTCAACAAAAGTTAGATTTTATTTCCATCATTTACACTTTCAAAATAACAGAAAACAAAAAAATGGCGTCTGCAAAAGTTTGGGCACCCTGCAGAATTTATAGCATGCACTGCCCCCTTTGCCAAGCTGAGACCTGCCAGTGTCATGGATTGTTCTTAATCATCGTCTGGGAAGACCAGGTTATGTCAATCTCAAAGGTTTTAAATGCCCAGACTCATCTGACCTTGCCCCAAGAATCAGCACCATGGGTTCTTCTAAGCAGTTGTCTAGAAAACTGAAACTGAAAATAGTTGACGCTCACAAAGCTGGAGAAGGCTATAAGAAGATAGCAAAGCGTTTTAGATGTCAATATCCTCTGTTCGGAATGTAATTAAGAAATGGCAGTCATCAGGAACAGTGGAAGTTAAAGCAAGATCTGGAAGACCAAGAAAAATATCAGACAGAACAGCTCGCAGGATTGTGAGAAAAACAATTCAAAACCCACGTTTGACTGCACTATCCCTCCAGAAAGATCTGGCAGACACTGGAGTTGTGGTACACTATTCCACTATAAAGAGATACTTGTACAAATATGGTCTTCATGGAAGAGTCATCAGAAGAAAACCTCTTCTACGTCCTCACCACAAAAATCATCATTTGAACTTTGCAAATGAACATATAGACAAGCCTGATGCATTTTGGAAACAAGTTCTGTGGACCGATGAGGTTAATATTGAACTTTTTGGCCGGAATGAGCAAAGGTACATTTGGAGAAGAAGGAGCACAGAATTTAATGAAAAGAACCTCTGTCCAACTGTTAAGCTTGGGGTTGGATCAATCATGCTTTGGGGTTGTGTTGCAGCCAGTGGCACAGGGAACATCTCACGAGTAGAAGGAAAATGGATTCAATAAAATTTCAGCAAATTTTGGATGGTAACTTGATGCCATCTGTGAAAAAGCTGAAGTTAAAGAGAGGATGGCTTCTACAAATGGATAATGATCCTAAACACACCTCAAAATCCACGGGGGATTACATCAAGAGGCGTAAACTGAAGGTTTTGCCATGGCCTTCACAATCTCCTGACCTCAACATAATTGAAAATCTATGGATAGACCTTAAAAGAGCAGTGCGTGACAGACAGCCCAGAAATTTCAAAGAACTGGAAGACTTTTGTAAGGAAGAATGGGCAAAGATACCTCAAACAAGAATTGAAAGACTCTTGGCTGGCTACAAAAAGCATTTACAAGCTGTGATACTTGCCAAAGGGGGCAGTACAAGATATTAAACTCCGCAGGGTGCCCAAACTTTTGCAGTCGCCATTTTTTTGTTTTCTGTTATTTTGAAAGTGTAAATGATGGAAATAAAATCTAACTTTTGTTGACATATTATAAGAATGTCTAATCTGTAATTTGATGCCTTTTGGAGATTTTTCCATCTTTCCTTGGCTTCTTTATGCACATTAATACAAATTTTTAGCTGGGGTGCCCAAACTTTCGATCCCCACTGTATATAAAGTTTGCCTTCATGTCAGCTTCTTGTAATCTCCTGTATACCAAATATCTTAATATAAATAAAATCAATGCGGACAAATTATTCTTATTCAACGTGCAGACTGTGCAAAAAAAAATTTGCAAAAAATCTGACACAAAAAGTCCATAGGTGTCTATATACAGCTCTGGATAAGTGTTCATTTCCTTCCTGGAATGTCCACTACACACCAGTTGTGCTCATGCAGTGGCTCTCCTCTTGGATAGCAACTCATCAAATAAATATGCCAACCATTTTCATTACTGGCATATCTCACTTAGAAGAATTCCACCATACCTCCCGGCATCAAATCATTAACCTCCCTGGCGGTATGATTATTTCAGATTTTTGGTGCTGAAAGCGGTATCATTATTTTGTATGGAAATTTGGCATTTTATATTGTAGGCCTGTAATTCTTAGGAATAACTCACTGAAATCTGTCCGAACAAGAGTCTAGTAAACATCCCGGGTATGATAAAATTTGAAACACAAAATCATAAATTATAATTTAATAAATAATCATAAAAAATAATAATATAATAATAAATTTAATTCAATAATGTAATCAAACCAAAAACACTGAAATTTGAAATATAGCGCCAAGTTCGCACATCACTGAGCAAAGTCGCAAAATCATTTTCAGTGTCTGATGACGAATTTCCCCACGAATCATTATTACTCAATTCTGCAAGTGGTTCTAATTTACTATCGCTGTTCTCTTGCTGGTCTAAAACCGCTTTTGACCTAAAGGGACGCTTTTGGACACCATGGACATTTCTCAGTTTCCAGGTAGAAAGAACAGTAAAAATGAAGGCAGGGCACAGGACAAAGCACTCGGGACAAAATGTATGTGAAATGGTTTGGTACAGTAATGTTTTACTATGATTTTAATGATTTTTATGAATGTCACTTTTTGTAATTTTCAAATTTCCCGCCGTTCCGTCCCCTGTACGTCCTGATGCTTGCAGAGGACGGAACCCAGAAGACAGATGCCGGCATCCGCCGGAGGACACTGCAGGAGGGACATCGCGGGAGCGCAGGACAAGGTAAGTGACCGAGGGATCGCGGAGCAGCGCCGCATGGTAAGCTCGAGTGTAGCTCGGGGTTACCGCTTGTGGTACTGAAACTTTACCCCGAGCTACACTCGGGAATACCGCCAGGGAAGCTATGCTACATGTGGATTTGATGCCAGGAGATATGGTCGAGTTCTATTAAGCAAGATATGTCTCTCATGAAAATAGTTTTTTGTTTTTTTTTGCACAGGCTGCACATTGAATAAGAATGTTGGTTGGAATGTTGTTCACATTTAATTTTATTTCTGTTTAACATATTTGGTGTTTTCACAGCGCTGACAGTGAGGAGGAGATGCACTTATAGTGGATCACCTTTAGTTCACGTGTTGGTGATATTTTGATCTGTTAGTACGGTAGCAGCAGTAAATGTACATAGTACATGTGCACATTTATTTTTTAGAAGTGGAACACTTTTAAACTTTCTGTATAGCGCGGTGTTGAAGATTATCAATCTATGACATTGCATGGTTCTTCCACTCTAACATGAATGCACAGGGAATTATTATTATTTTATTACAGACATTTATACAACACCGACAATTTATGCAATGCTTTGAATATTGTATAGTCACATCAGTCCCTATCTCATGTGGATATGTAGCGCTACTCCTGCTGGAGCCATAGGAATACTGTCCAGGTCTTCCCCAAATGCTTTACCTCATAGCCAGGCACATATGTTCATTCACATTTCTTCAATGATCAGTGTAGGGGTGTTGTTTTTGTTGTTTTTTATGTTTGGAGAGCTTGGATAAGGATGAGGGAATTAGGTGAGATACTCCAAAAACCGAAACTATTTACAGTTGAGGACTTTAGGTATCCTTTTGGATATGACAAAGTCTGTGCTTGAAACAAACAGTAGACTTCAGCTTTAAGACCGCTGTAGTAGTAGCAAACTAGAGCAGAGTCCCTTGTAGGTAGGAGATAAGATGGACAAAGCTCTTTGGAACACCAACCGGTATCCCCTTTAGCTGGACCTGCAGTTGACCTCCCTAACACCAGACGGGTTTTAGCAGCACAAAGTCTCTAAGATCCTTTCAGAGGCATCAATAATCAAAAGGCCCAATGGGGAATGGTTGCCTTCCTCCGTGATACCAGACCAGATCTTCAGTAGATGGGCCCCTAAGACAGATTTAGCAGAACCCGGGTCTCAGCATTCAGGCCCTCAGGTCGCCCACCTGAGGGCCACACAGTAGTAGTTGTCTGGGAGGACAGTTGCCCCCTTTAAAAATCATACAATGTGATTTCCTGAATTTCTTTTTTAAATTCTGTCTGTCAGAGTAGGAATGCACCTACAATGTGAATTTCAGACCCCTCCATGATTTCTAAGTGGGAGAACTTGCAAAATCATAGGGTGTTCAAATACTTCTGTTCCTCACTGTATATGGATACTCACCTGTTCAGGGATCCAGTGCCGTCCACCCGAGCCATTTATTCACCTGTCTTTGGGCCCCCAAATCTGGCACCCTAACTGTGGAAAGCCAGCTGTGACTCCTTTCAGCTTCACACCCTCCCCCCCTCCCCCAAGAAAAAAATAATTTTCCAAATATGTCGGGGGGGGGGGGGGGGGGGGGGGGGGTTGTATGTTTGCATACTCTAGCAGAAGTCGTGAAACTTTGGTATTGATATTGAAAATATGACTGATCATGCCAAAAAATATTTGAACAAAAATTAGCTGTTTGGTCGAGTTGCCAGAAAGAAGCCATTACTGCACCAATGCCACAAAAAAGCCTGGTTACAATATGCCCGACAACACCTTGACATACCTAAAGGGGGCTTTTTTGTGGCATTGGTG